AGGGAAACGATGCCGTCTTCAGCAGCAGCTTGCAACCCTCACGATCAAAAATCTAAGTTTCACTAGGCTTCTTCGAGGTTCATGGGTGGTTATAAGTGGGGGGGTGGTAAGTAGGGTAACTATACTTATAACCCATCATATTAGAGGACTTCTCACCAGCTCTGTCGTCGCCCGCCCCCCCCCCTTCCCAACAAAAAAAGGTGCAAACGAAGTCTTTCTACGATCATCATGTCTGATTGCAGGTTCAAGCAGCTCCGTGATCTCAGCGCCTCGGACCATGGTGGAATCTGGATTATGCAGCTTTCAAGCCCTCGCGGCTTTCTCATACGGGCCGATGTCAGCTACGACTTAGCGCGTCAGCTGTTAAAAGCCGTGCCTGGCCCGATGGCTACATGCTGCTTCACGGAGTGGCGATCTCGAAAAGCCAAGGCTCCACCCGAGAACATCGAGCCGCTGCCGCTAATCACGATAGCTTTTACCTGCATGACACGACAGCGCTTCTGCTCCGTCCTTGATGGGCGCCATTGCGTCCCCTTTGCTTGTGCTTGTACAAAATCAAGATGTGCAGCACTTCACCGTTTGAGTTGACGAGACGCTAAGCGAACCGAGCTAACCTCGCGTCTGCATCTTCGGCGACAAGTCCATCATCCCCTGTAAATGTCAGCCGAGCCTTTGGATCTTGGACGAGTTTCGGGAACTCCTGCCTTAGCTGCGATTCAAGCAACTCCCCAAACATCCCTGGGCTTTGGGGATGGTCCCCAAGCCCCCTAGGCCAGGGGCCCCCGGAGCCTCCAGCGAGCAGTTTTCAAGGGCCTAGGGATTCCGGGCCAGTCCTAGGGAAGACCCGACCAAATTTCACAGCTTCGCCGCCACTTCTGGAGCAGGGTGGAGTAGGGTGAATGCAGCCAGCCAAGCATGGGGGAGCTGATTAGCTGCTTTTCCACTCCAACAGAACAGGACAAAGCGCTTGAACGAGGTCACCAAGCTCGTGCCAAGCGAGTTCACCGGCGGACTGTTCATAGTCAGCACGCCGACGCCATCCTTTCGCACTTGCAATGGACATCCGTCATCTCAAAGCAGCCCACGACTCAAAGAATTGCAAGTCTCAGAGCTGTTCAGGCTTCGAAACACCACGCTCCGGACCGCTTGCCTATTTCTCACCAAGTAGCTGGACGGACGGCAATGGAGGCCGACATGAGGAGTGCTGAGCGATGGCTGGAAAAAGCGCGTGTTTCTCCCGAGCTGGCTGGAGCCCAATACAAGAAACGTACAGCAAAGGCGGCGGAATGACCAGGACCGATCCTTCTCCTGGGGCCCCACACCGGCAGGACTCAACACTCGGCGGCGTCGGCTTCTGCGAAGAAGCCACTTCAAGTCCCCAGACTCGGTAAACCATCGCCTGGCATGGACATGTGTGAACAAGTGAGCACGAGCTGGCGACTGCGCCGCACGAGCCTCCAAGGTCAACTGCATGCGAACCCATCGTGAAATCACCTCGACTCGACGGTCACTCACCGTGGAAGACAAAGTAAGCCAAGATGTTGAAGATTCGAAGACAGTGTCGTGCTCTTCCGCTCCTGTCCTAGGTGTCCTCATCAGTTGTTTACATACATTTAACAGCTAGGTCATGCTGGAGTTTCCTTGAGCTGCGCGGTGGCAACAGCCGAAGTATGAACGATGATACCTCGAGAAATGTGTTCTTGAGAACAGAACGCGTGCTATGTGCGTGCCAGCACAAATAGGTAAATGAATAAATACATTATATGTGTATGTGTGTGTCTATATATATATATATATATATATATCACGTGTCTACAATGCGTGTTCAGATTAGGCATGCCGCGCTTGTTGCAATGCTGTTCTTCTCCCTGGTTGCAGTTAACATATGCCATGTCTTGCCAGCGAGACTGACTCCTGAGGCGGGCAGCAAGGTTGCTGCACCTCACCGTTTGATTTACCATGCAAGCCACGATTTGCCTCATTGGTATGTTTGCATGCTTCCTTGCTTTTTGTCGTTGTGCACTCAGAAGCATGCCGTCCGTCATCTCAACGTGAACGTAAACCTCACCGGCACCTGCCTTTGTGGGAAAGAATGCCTCGTCCGTCCAGCCAAGACAATGCGGTTTTGAATCGGCACATGCGCGACAAGTTTGCATGAAACAGGTAATCCACGGCGACTGCTACGTCTTGGTCTGACGATGAAAGCGCCTGCAGCCTTACTGGCGGTCTGTGCACAGAAGCACCTGCAGCTGGTCGCTGCGTCCTTCGAGAGGCCGAGACACCGCCGGAGCCTTGGATGGCTCGTAAGCCCCCTCTCTTGCAACTCGGATGCGACGAGGTGCGACGCAGGGGTGATCACCCACCCTTGACGTATCTGAGAATGCGGCAAGGCGACATTGAACCAGGTCCAACCGAAGGCCCGGCATCCCGCAAATTCCCGCATCGCTGAGCCCCTATATTGCAGTTGGGGCATGCACGGTTATGAAAAGCTGGCGATGCACTTCGAGTCCTTGTCACAACACAGACTTGCCGATGCTTGAAGGCTGATCCTAAAAATCACCTCACATTTCTCATCTCTTCCTTCTCTTCTTGTGTCCCCGGTCGGACTCAGGACGAGCTCCGCTGCGTGACGAGCTGTACGAGTCCTGAACTTCAACGAAGCTTACTGCTCAGACTTGTCCTTTAAACAGATCTCCTCACAAACCTCTTGAAGCTGTAGTTATTGTAGTTGCAGATTCTGCATACAGACAGAACGGGGTTCGCCTTGTCACAACCCTGCTGGTTGCCCCATGTGCCTCGTAGGACTCGTAAGACCTCAAAGGTTCAGGAAAAGAAGTAAAGTCTACAGTGGAGTCTGGAGTCTAGAGTCTACATTCTACAAACATTGCAAACCTTACAGAAAAACCTCAAAACACATCTGACGCATGTCATCTGCAGTTCAGGCGCTCATACGTGGAGGACTCCAGCTTGCCGGAGGAACTCCCAGATACCGGCGCGCATTTGCCTTGCTCGTGGAAGACACGTGATTCACTACGAACTCTCTGGGCTACACTACCAAGGCCGGGCTCGGATGAACCTGTGATAGCAGGCGTTGGAGTTCTCTTAGGCTGGTGCAAAATGCAGCCTTGCAGGTTTGGACGCCGATAGCTGCGAAACCAAGGGACGCTTCTGGCGGGGGGCCAGCCAATCAAACTGCCCGTCGAAGTCCAACTGGCAGCTGCAGCTAAAAGAGGCTAAAATCCATATGAAGTTTCCTGAAACTGATTTGAAGGTGCCTGGTGTCGAGAAGCTGCTTTCCGGAAGAGGCTGCGGAGGTGATCGTAGTCGGGCTTGTCCTTGAAGCCTGCCATAGTAAAGAAGCAGGAATGCCTCTCAGCGAAGGCACGACTGAAAGTTTCTGAAGCCTAGTGAGTCGCAGTACTCCAGGTACTGCACGAATTCCTTGGGAAAGCCTTCGGCGGGCTTGCGCGGCAATCGAAGCCAACCCATGCAGAAGAAATCCATTAGTTATACTTCCAGTCTCGCAGATCTGAGTTTTTGCTTAGGAGCTTTTGCACAGGTCCTGGTGTGACGTTGCTGCCTTGCGTTTTCCAATGCGCTTTTTGCGCTTCTTCCTCGGAGGCCAATCAGAAACAAGCACGAGCTGTTGCAATCTCTTTTGGTGCAGCCAGGAGACCTGTCGCGATGGTTTATTCCTGCAGCGGTTTTGTGGCTACAAAACGCTTGGTATGACTCAGTGTTTTAGGGCCAGTGGCCCTGGAAGCCCACGTCCTTGCCAAGGCAGCTTCCCGCGCAGGAAGTAGAGCAGCACATAGCCGATGGAGCCCAAGTCATCCCTCGCTTCGAGTCCCGAGCGAAATACGAGCAACCGAGCAAACACGCAAACGATGCAGCTTGGCAGCCGTCGGCTCGGCTCGCAGCCTCACGCGAGTCAGAGAAGTGGTGCACGTGCCAGGTACATCCAGGTAAAAGTCTACTTCAATTTCGATGCATGGGGCTAATTTATCAGGCTCCGGCATTGCTGAATCCACGATGTCTGCCATGCATGCCCGCTGAATGCACAGAAAACTTGATAACCAAGTGGCCCTGATGCAGGTTGACGGTCACGTATCGCGCCGTTCCGGTGATGCCACTCTTCTTGACAAACGGGATGTGTTTGCCAGTATCTGGATCTCGAAAACCTACGGCTACGGAGAACGCCAGAGCATAACCCTTTTGCAGCTCAGGTCCGGCGATTCGCTTGCCTGATGACTGTAAAACCGGAATCTAGATAAATTAGAGAAAACGGTGCAAAATATCAAACTCGGAACAACAGGCTCGACAGAAGACTGATCATACACAACCGTAAACAACATGGAAAAAAGCTGGCCGAAACTCAGAGACAGACGAGAAGCCAAAGATAGCGGCTTGTAACAAAACCATGAAATCGCACTGCCCCAAGGTGCAGCTGCTCTACGAAGCTGTTGCCTTTGCCGGTCTCCGTTGGGCTGGGGCTGATTGTGCTAACGCCACCTATCCACACGGGCAGGTTAGCTCTGGGTCTGGGGGAAAGGGGGCTTCTTGCAATCTCCTCAACCCTTGCCCTCCCGAGATCTGGAATTCCGAGTATGCATGGCAGTTTCGGCGTACTTCCCAGGACCGGTGAGCATCCGCATTTCGCTCTTGGCCTAGAACCGACTTGGACACGTCGGCAATCCGAAGCCGCAGAAACTCTTCCTTTGGATCTGCATCGTCATCTTGTCTGCGTTAACCCTCATCACGGTATGCATCCATCGGCAATCACCATAATCATCATAATCTTCATCTGAATCACGGTCTTCACAGTCATCACCACGATCATCATGACGATCTTCACCTTTTTTTGGCTCCCACTTGGCACCGTCAGCGAGCTGACACTGCATGGCAGGTCACCTTTAACACCATATAATCATCATCGTCATCAGCCTCACCGTCACAATCACAGTGATCATCCTCGTACTCCACCTCTTCATCATTCTCACCTGCACATTCACCATCTTCGTCATCAAAATCTTCCTCTCCCTCCTAACCGCCACAAAAACACCATAATTTCATAACTTTGTCTCGCGAACAACCATCATCCTAATCTTCAGGGTCGTCACCCGAACAATACTTGCCTCGTCTTTTGGAGCACTCTTAACATCATGATGGTCATCATCATTATCACATTCATCACCGTCAAGAGACTATTTCTGCTGTAGGCAATACTGATCAAAAACTGAACCGTGACAACACCATCAAAGGATGCCAGACTGCCAAACCCTGCTTTTTTGCGAGGTTAACAGCGTCTGCAACATTGAAAGCCTCAGCAAAAGCATCTCCGAAGACCTCGTTGCCTGCCTGATGTTGCCTGCGCCATGCAACCTGCGAACTTCAAGAACCACCGCTTGCCTGGGAAAATGTTTGCCTCCTGCATTGCTAAACGAGTCGCTAGGCAGGGAAGGTGAGAGAAACACCTGGGACACCTTTGCCTTCAAATAAAAGAGCCTGAGATCCCAGCTTTCCTCAAAGTTGCGTCAAATGGCAACCTAATGCCAAACCCAAAATAACTAAAACAGCGCCAACACCATTTCTGCATCAAAGCACGCAAGACTGCAAAACACTGTTGTCTGCGAGGGAAACAGTCTCTTCAACATGGAAAATCGCAGTAGAAACATCTCTGAGACTTTGGTTGCCTGGGCGATGTTGCCGGCACCAAACAACCTCTGAGAGGAAAAACTGTCTTCTGCCTGGGAAAAACACTCTTGTCAAAAGCACTTGCGCCGGAGCTCGGGTCTGCCAAGGCGGCGTGACTTGTTTTTGTTGCCCATAATTTTCTGATTTCGTTGTCAAGTTCTTATTGACTTTCCATTATGTTCCTTCCCATGCCTCTTCCGGGGTTCTCCGTTGTTTTGCCACCATTCCGGTCTTAAAATTCCCGGTTGATTCCATTTTTGTCTTCAAACGCTTCGGTTTTGTTTTACACTTTCGCGGATTTCAGACCTACCGACCTACTGCACCTTGGGAGAAATGAGACACCGAACCCGATGTAAACAAAGACAGCACCAGAGAAGAAAATTCAATAAAGCTACCAAATCTCAAAGCATCCACGACGCAGATCATGACATGAAATGTGAAATCAAAGGACCTGCTGGCAGCAAAGAGTCTTGCCCACAGAGTTTGCTGTCCAGACAGAGGTGGAATAAGTTTCCCCGCACTAACGGTACCGCGGACACAATCGAACATGAAAATGTTGAACAAACGTCGCTCGTACGGCTAGGGGCGTTTTGCCAAGCCGAAGTCCACAATGTATACCTGAAGCAAGTAGGCTGAGTTGCACAGGGTGGTGAGCTGGCACGAACCTTGCACATGATCACTGGTCAGTGCCTTGTCATTTTGCCCATCCCCCGCACCAACAACGAAGTTGCTCGGCTTGATGTCCTCAACTTGATCCGGAAAGGTACCAGTCTTGCCATGTATGCATGGACACCACACTTTGTTGGACTGCTTCCCAGCATCCCGATGTAAGATCTTGTGCGAGTGCACAAACTCCTTGGAGCTGCCGCTCGACCCAAAAAGCGAACAGACTTGAGAAAGTCTCCATGTCGACGCAACATGAGCACCGACCAAGCGTCTATGCAGTTGATCATCTGCTCCGCAAGCATGAGCACAGTCTTCAAGCTAAACTTCCTGGCAACAAGAGCAGTCATGCCCAGCAATCATCAGGCTTTCGGATCTGCGAGTCCTGCGGCAAGTCTTCATGAAGAGATCCTCCAAGGAGGGGCCCAGCAGGCCCATGGCCTCAGCACTTTGAGCGCGGCGTCAGACAAGCATTTGCAAAGCATCTTTGCCAATCTTTGCGAACGAATTGAACGGAAGCAACCTGAGCATCGCGCCATGATATTGTACTCGCCCTGACTCCCGCACCAATGTACCGTGGTGGTCGGGCTGTCCAAACCTTGGCGTCAGCATGCCTCGCCAGCCTTGAGGTCCCGCCGCCTCTCTGTGCCCACCATCAACTTAGGAGGATGCCGAAGACTTGACAGAGCTCAGCCTGAAAAGGCGGAGTGGAGATCTGCACTCCAAATCGAAGAGGCAAGGGAGGCAATCGACGAGGCAAGGCTGGACTCCAGCAACGCAAAGCCGCAAAGCCCAGGCAGCCCAGGCCCAGTCTGGGCCTCTTTGAGGAGCCTCGGCCAACAGACTTTGGGCCGAGTTGCGAGTGCCCTGCAATTTGGGATAGCCCGCATGGATGTTTTTTTGGAATATCACATCCGCGGCACTTGTCGGTCTTCTCGGCTTTCGTCCATTCGAACCTCACGCTACCCAGCAGCTTCAACTCAGAAGCCAGCGTGGAACGTGGACGGAACCACATCAAGTTCAGCCCGAGGAACTTCAAAGCCACATAGCGATTTGCTATGCGGTCCCAGGCCAAGCGCACAACACTGTACGAGCCGCTTCCCAGCTTACCTTAGACTGCACATGCCATCGCCATCTTCAGTGTTTTGGGGACAAGACAGTTCAGAAACCACAGGGCACAGGGCTCGGGGTCATGACCCTAAACACGCAAAGGAGATGTTGGTAAGCAAAAGCCAAACCCTTCAAAGGAGATGTTCATGAGCAAACCCCAAATTCTACATTTTGGCCCTAAATCTCGAGGTTAAGATAGTGGGCAAATCCCTAACCCTTTAACAAGAAGACACTGTGAGGTTTATTGGTCAGCAAACCCCAAAACCCTGCAAGGTGATTGCCAACCCCAGAATCTTCAAAAGGAGACGTTGGTGAGCAAACCCCAAACCCTGATGTTGGTGAGCAGACCCCTGGCCCTAGCCCCATCACCCTAAAAGGAGATAACACTCCTCAGCAAACCCGAAACCCTGATTTTGGTGAGCAACCCCCAAAACTAAAAGGAGATGTTGCTCAGCAAACTGAATTCGCTCGGCTGGTTCGAAGCAGCTGCACTTCTGAATCTCCACATCTGAACTGCAGTGCCTGGTTCCTGGTTCCCCTTTTTTTCTAGTGGGCCTGCCTCCTTGTTTGGGTCAGGCTTTTGATTGCGACACATCCCGGCTGTCTCAAGGGATGGCTTTCGGCTCCTTCACCATCCTCTCTGCACGAAGTAGTGGCCCGGCAGCAATTCAGGCCAAGGGCGCGAAATGTCAAAGCGGTCAGCGACAACCTGCGTAGTGACTCTGTATGCTCATCTCCGCATAGCCAAGCCGCCCAGTCAAACTTGAAAAGTGAAATGCCTCGAGCCTTGGGCACTTGGGGACGACCATCGGACTCATCATCACCTGGATATGGATAGCCGCCAGACAAGCGCTCAACTCGAAAGATCAAATGAGACGCGTCGAGACTGAGCATGCCTAGATGAACCGAAAAGTTCTGGCGATGCCTGCTCTGCATACATGTTCTTCACACAATTAAAAAGCTGGGCAGGCCAAACTAATTCGTGACACCATGGACGCAAAATCTTTTTCGTGCACCAGTGGCTGGACAGACTGCCTTTGTCGACAACCTTCTTCTCCTCAGCTTCAGTACGCTTCAAGCCTGCGTCACGACTACATAGCTGCTCACACGAGGCTGCATAGATCGAAAACGTCCACCGTCTGGATTGCCGTGGAAGCGACCGAAGACTGAAGTATCACCGCAAGACTGCTGTTTCACGACTGGGCTGACAGGAAGCTTCAACAATCTAGTGTATCGAATTGCAACTAGGCATCAAAGGTCATCTTGCCATCCATCGGAAAACGCATCAGGAATCCCATATTCCTACAGCTGGGATGGCCAAGACCAGCTCGTCCCCACGGAGTCCAGGCCCAGGACACTGATGAAGCTTGACTTGACGGTCTTGCAACCGTTGCACAGTAAGGCCGTTACACAAGACATTTGCTCAGAGAATCCTTCATGACACCTTACTATCTCAAAGCTGGTACTAGTAGCTTGCTTATCCGGTCGTGTGCTGTGCTGTCGTGTGCCATGCTCAGCTCCGGCTGCAGTGTCTATGACAGACACAACCCCACCAAAAGCAAAACCTGTCAGTGGCACCGGAGGAGAGTCACAAGCTTTCGGTGCATCCAGCACATGGCGTGACTATCCTCTTGCACACACACATTCCAGTAGCCCTTGCATGCAATGCTGCCAAACAAAGCCAGGCATCAGTACACAAGATACTCGACGCGCCGGAACATGTCGGAACCAAGGCAAGGCGAGAAGACATTTCTCACATTCCTGATGCTGCTCATAAATGCAAGAAGCCAACTGCTGTTGAGTGCAACTGCTTCTTGCAGGAGTTCACCACATCTGCCTTTGAGGGGCTAACCTCCATGTGCAAGCAGTGCTTTGCGACTGAACTTGCAAACTGGAAGCATCGGGGACAAGCATCGTGATCAGCGAGCCAGGCAGGCGGTACATGTTCTCCACTGCTCAAACAACCACATGCCGGTAAAGGTTGTCATCCAGCTGGCCGCATCGAAGCAAAATAGAAGCAAAAAGGAGCCAACACTAAATTACCTCATGCTATTCGAGGCCGTTCCTGAGAAGGTGCACAGCAGCCGCTCAGCGGCCTACAAAGGAAAATTGCAAGCATCCCAGTGGAACCAAGCCAAGCAAATATTCGCAAAATCGGATTTCGGCCGACACAACAAGCTCACTGCAAGTTGTGCCAGTTGCTCGACGTGAAGAAGCTGCAATTTTTACAGCCTCGGCCGATCACAACTCATAACCACAGCACACTACAGCCATCGAAGTATCCCTGACGTGGATGCTTCTCTGGTTTGAAAGGCCGATCATGTAAGTTTGAAGAGGCGTTGTGACGATAAAATGTGCTGTGAGAGCAATATTTCTCGATCCAGTTCCCCTTGACACCTCGTACTCGTACAGGCCAGCGTGCTGAAGCGACGGTTCTCGACCACGGCTGCGCGGTTACATGCGAAGACTCCATCAAGGAAACGATTCAGCAGAATCTACGAAGCAGAAATTCTCGAACCACCTACTTCTCCGAAGCTGGTCTAACCATGCACGATTGCTGAAACATGGGCTGGACAGCCAGTGAAAACCGCAGGTTTATTCCGATGCCAATCTCGAGATTTGGAAACTTCCCATCTGACCAGGTTTGTCGACCGGACCGTGCTCTCAGTTAGAATTAATCGACGTAGGCGCATGCATCGGGGAGTTGAGACCTTTGTTGGATCTGTTCGACCTCACCCCTCTATTCCCCAGTTCGATATCTTTTGGCTCAGGTTGAGATTGCTTTATGGCTGCATGGGGCCACTGCCATGTTGACGAAGCTGAGAAGGAGGGCAGGAGGCTGGACACCGCCGCGTACGGAGCGGGAGTCCCTTGAAGGTCTCCCTACCAGCTTTCCCAACATCACTGAGCTCTCATGTTGTAGCCTTTGGCCCAATTCTCGTCATCCCGCCTCTCTGACCTCACTTGCATGGGTCGCCCAAATCGAAAAGACTCGCGGTGGGACTCCTGGAAATCCTCCATGGCTGGATGACCCGCGCTCTTCTACCGCCCCCCCCCCCCCCCCCCATCACGTTTGCTCTTGGTTGTCTTCCGTGCAAGTTATGTCTCTTCTCTCCGTCCAGCTCACACAGTCCCATTGTAAGCACCATGCCCGTCAATCACCAGAATCACTCGCTCCGTTGGCGCTTGGCCTCCACCAGTCGTTCAAAAGCCCTCGTGCAAATCTCACATGTCCGGTCATTTTCAGTGAATGCTCAGCAGGGCCAAATCCCTCTGCCTCCGGATGGTGCCCACCAACCTGTTCCAAGTCAAAGTACAAGTGAACGTGACTGGGCAAACTATACCTGCGAAAGCAAAGGGGGAACTTTGTTTTTGCGTCATGGTCAATGCAGGGGCGGCAAAAACGAAGTGCTGCTAGCTGTGTGCAACTTTGCTACCCAATCGTCGAAGGATCGTGAAATCCGGCGGGAACCACTTACTTGAGATACACTCCCAAGCTTGGTCGATGCCGGTCGGCATCCTAGTCCATCGCCATGCTTTTCGTACTCACGGCATTTCCCCCAAGCCCACAGTGGCCAGGCTTCGCACATGGATCAATAGAACTCAAAGTAGAAAGTATATAATCTTGTGATGGTGTCATGGCTTCGGCCGTGGCTCGACAGTGCATACCCCCGGCACATCGCAAGAACAGTTGGGTAGGTTGTAGATGGGCAGGTCTCATAAGTCAAAATAACCACCAAAGCCAACAAAGCGCGCTGTGGCTTCGGCACTTGGCATGGAGCCGCCAACTCCCGGTTCGAACACCTGGGAACAAGATCTGATCCCTTCTGAAACGACGGTTGGTGCTGGGCTGGCCTCGAGTGCCTCTGCTGGGCGCCGTCGTGCTGGCCTACGGCGAGAAATGCGCAGTTGAGTCTCACATTCTGCCCGAATGAATTTCAGCCGTCAGTCCACGCTGCAACGATTTGAAAGGAATGCCCCGGAAATTCGAGATCACGGATGTTTCGCGGGCCTGAAATGAGACTCGTAGTCCGTGCCCTCCTCTGCCGCGCTCGCCGCAGCAGGGTCCCGGGCTTCACATGACGAAAAAATCCTGTCTGGAAGAGGCATGCATACGCGTCGTGCACTACCAAGCATGTAAAACACAATCGTTGCAAAGGTTCAGCACACAGAACCTGTCGGCCTCATGCACGGGAAGGTCCACACAGATTTTCCTATCAGGTCACATGCCAGCCCTGTTTGTTGGCTGCACGGATGATGTGAAGCTTCGGCACATACACGTCGTGCCTCGGCCGTCATCGACTGCCCCACCGAGCTGCCCCAAAACCTCGAACTGTGGGTCTGCTGAAGTGATGAATGCAATCCTGCAAATTCAGGGAATTTGCAGACTCCGCGCCGGTAAACCAAGAGATGCATCGATTGCAAGATACCCATCGTGTTGGCTGGGACGGTGTGCATCCATATTCATACACACATAATCACATATACGGTATCATAAACGCAGGGGCCCGGACAACAGTGGCCCGGGTCACCATTTTTCGTCCCCCCCCCCGAAGGTTTTTCTAGTTCTGAAGCTCGTCGCCTGAATTCGGCCGGTCCTGGCAGAAGCCGAAACTCGGCTGACGGTCAAACTCGGCGCCGATACTCACGAATTTCGTCTTCTGCATCTTTGCGGCCAAATTTCGGATTCACAGCCGAACTTCGTCTTCAGGGTCGAATTTCGTCTTCGAAGCCGATTTTTTCTTCACCGTCTTCGTGGCCGAGTTTCGTCTTCACGGCCGAATTTCGTCTTCAGCGCCTTTGCGGCCGAATTTCGTCTTCAGGCTCACATTTCGTTTTCGCAAAGCGGCATTTCATCGAACTTCGCCTTCAGTGTCGAGTCTCGTCTTCAGGGGGCGAAACGCGCGGGAGTCTTTAGAAAAGTCTGCGATGGGTCTTGAATGATGCGTCTTCGGGCCGAACTACGTCTTCGGAGTGACTTTCGTCTTCACGAGCGACTTTCGTCTTCGGCGTGTTGTGAAACCGATTTTGTCTTCACCCGAATTTCGTCTTCAGGCGGAATTTCGTCTTCAAATTTCGCTTTTACACGCAAAGTGAGCCTCAACTCCTTACGAACAATTTCGCCGGGATCTCGTCATCGGAACCCAGTTTCCTGAGCCAATGCATATACGTATACCTGTGTCTGTGTGTACGTGTAAGCAGTGTATGTATATATTTTTTCTAGGCATATGATGCACATGAAGAAAAGCACCACACGGATGTCGCTTGTTCCAGGACTGTGTCTCGTGGCAGCTCATGGCAGCGCACTGTCCTCGTAAAGGTTCTCAAGAAAAAGAAAAGCAGGACGCACCTGAGCTGAGCGGGCTTCTGAATGGGTCCAGCCAACTCTTTTGACGAAAAATATAATGAAGCCTTTGACGAAGTTAGTTGGCATGAACTGCTGTACGATCCGATGCTGTAGGCATCGGATGCTCGACACTGTCTCTTCGCACGGGCGCTTCTGCTCGTCGACATTGGTTTGCATATGCCGGGCTCGTGCAACCGAGGGGCAGAATCATGGCCAGACTTCTCTCGCAAATCTCCTGCCACTTCCATGACAAATCTTGCATCTACCAAGCATGAAAGGCGGAAAGACCTCAAGCCAGCAACTTTCCTCAATGAATACCTGTCCCGAGAACACAAACCAGGACCCCCCAAACAGAGAGCCGAAATACACACCAGCCACAGCAAGTCTACAGTGCCCAAGCCAACTGGCAAGCGTCCAGCAACCACCCGAGCAAGCTTCGTACGCGGTTTCCTGCCAGCAGCATCACTGCATTTGGACAAACTCACTACAAGCGAGGACTGAGCGGGAAGAAGCTCCCAAGCAACAACGGTCACACCTCGATGCCAAGGTGCAATTTACAGTAGATCGTTCGAAGGTTGTCTGCAAGACTACTCCCTTGTTCGGGAGGCCGACAGAAGGGCACTGGAATTTTCGCGACACAGATATCGATAGATTTTTCTAAGACACATGACATCCTAAATCTCCAGGCGCATTTTCACAGTCAGATCCCATGGGTCCTTCGGCCAATGCTTTTTGCAATACACACTCGTCGAAGTCACGCGCGAAATTGCTCGTCCGCAGCCTGGGGCTACTTTCACAATGCCGTGTGCAAGCTAGGACTGCTCCTACATTACTTGCACGGCGAGTGTGCCCGTCCCGGGGGACGTGTCATGCCCCTGAAAAAGCAGCTAGTGGAATGCTCTACTGCCATGGCTTTCTGAATTGAGAAATTCGAGCGCGTTGAACTTTGAGATGCTATATATGCCATAGACATGACATCACTACATTCGTTTGCCGAACAGGTTTGCCATCAGTGTAGGAGAGGCACTTGCGACCCATCTTCTCAAAGTCGGGGATGGCCTGTGCCGGCGATAAAGCATGACTTCATTTAAACAATGTCGCACTGACAACATTTGTTCCTTGATCATACTATCTTCGGGCCATACATGCATCACAGGCGCGTGTAGGAGTGCGGAAAGACCTTCTCGCCTTATGCCGAATGCGGAACCATAAACTTCCCGAATCCTTCATCCAGCCAGGCAGGTCTGGAAGCATCTTCCATCCTAGCATGGCCTTCTGGAGAGATACAGCGTCCAAGCCACGATGCACAATACGTTGCAGCTTCGCACGCGCTTCATCAGCCTTTGTTGACAACCTACACACATCTCGTGTGATTGTCAATGACTGTAAAAATACGCAAAGGTTGAGTCAAAATCGTGCGATACCTGCGAATGCCTTGGCAATTTGATCCCGCCTGAAACAACCCTGGCGAAGGGCCTCCTTCTGACCAATGTTGACCAAGAGGCATCGTCGAAGTCTACAAGCCAGGAGTTCTCTCCATCCCGAACAAACCTGGGCTGTTGGCGTGAGTACCACCCTCACGCTGCACATGGAAGGGTGAATCCTCTCCGGTGGCATGATGTAGCTTCAATCGGGCCCAGACTTGCTTCGAAAGAACCGAATTACGAGAGCGACGCCTGATGTCGCCCATGCTACAATGCAACATGCACGAAAGCTCTTTTGTTTAATCGCCCTTGTTCCATCTGCCTGAGGAGGAGTCAGGAATACCATGCTGGTTGAGGCAGGTAGAGCTCTGAAACTTAGGACTGCACTCAAGGTGTCCTTGGGCTGGCTGTAAGGCACACGGCGTCCCCGAGCAGAGTGCCTTCGAGCAGTTCAGCAGCACACATGGCGCTCGTGTTTCTTCAAGACATCTCATGGGGGAAGCAATAAGCAGGCATCCGAAACCCAGTTTTCACATGCAAGGATGCGCATGAGCAATGCGAAACTCGTTAACAACTAACAAGCTAGCTGGTGCACGTGCATGCTCTGCTAACGGCCGAACCCCGACGTGCGTAGGCCTATTCTCCACAGGCTCGAGACTCTAAATCCGGACTCAAGTCAAAGACATGTACTTCATCCCGTTTGGTCTGGGCTTGTGTACCACAGACGAACCAAAGCTATGAAAGCAATGCAGGAAATTCACCCGTGAAAGACGGCTGCTGTTTTTGTACGAGTAACACCTGATCGTCATCCTTTCCGGAGTCACCGCCCCGTAGAGACAAAGAAGATATCTCCTCAAAAACACTCGCCTCGATGACGGTGTTGCCCAGCGTTTCAAAATTGGAAGCTGACACGAACAGGTCGCTGGCCGCGTATGCAGCACCTTAACCAGTAGTGGAACGCAGCCAGCATGCACAAATACAGCCAGAGAATTCAACCCCATCACTGGAGCTTTCACCTCAGGCATGACTTGACTCATTCGCGTTTACTTCTGCGTGGGGTTTCTGACGACTGCACCTACTTGACCTTGCGACAAGAGCCGTCTCGCTCTATTGCGCACGTGCTGTTTGATGGTCTTGCTGGAGAAAAACACATATTTTTGGCTCCCACTTGGCAACACCAGCTCGCGCTGACACAGCATGGCAGGTCACATGTCCACTCAAGAAGGCAAGGCAGTTCTCAAGGAATGCAGCCACTCAAAAGCACAGTTGATGCTACAAGGTCAGATCTGAAGTCGACATCATTGTGAAAGACAGTTCAAGGCATCACTTCCTCGGCTCAGAAAGCTCACAGGTGCACCACTGCTCAGTCCCGCCAGCACTCGTGGGGCCAGCAGTGTTGTAGCTCAAACCGACAGCACTCGAGGTGCCAGCAGTGTTGTAGTCCAAACCGGCTATATATTTATGAAATACCCAAAGTCTTCAAGTAATTGTCTTTGGGGCTGCGGGCTGGCACTCACACCTCGCAAGAATCCCGGGGGCTGGCTGTTCTCGCAACTATGGAAAGGAAGGGGCAGATTCCTGACCTCCCATATACCTGCCTGCCTTGATGACAACTGAGAATGCAGGATGTTGTAAGTCACCAGTCGGACGAAGTCTGACCCATTGTGTCCCTTGCGTTTATTGAAACATAGTAAGTCGGGCACGCAAGTCCTTGCCATTCAACATCTTCCGCAAGGGTAGAACATTTGGCCGACCTGCCCAAATGTTAAGCAGTTCATGAACATCTACTAAGTCGGAACAAAGGCAAGCCGGAACGGAGGAAAACAACAGCTTCCCGTCTATCGACTTGCACTTGTCCTGCTCCATCGTCACCTCACTTATCTGCCAAACGACATGACCACGGAACTTCACGAATGATATCTTCTTTCGGTTTCGTCGTCCTATGGCGTCTTTGTCTTTGCGGTTTCCGAAGGTTGAGTGAGCGAGTCTGGGTATTTGCGCTCGGGCATGACGCCTAGATTCCTAGATAGGATTCAATTGAACCGACCCCAACAGCCCAGACAGGCAGAGATTTTTCCCGCAGCTGGCACGTGTGAAGATTGAAATCAACACGGGGCTGCTCATGATGACTGATGATGAAACGCGACCGGCAGCGCAGTCATCCTTTTGACGTTCCGGGGCCACAGGTCGGCCCTGAATCCACGACGAGGTCCTGTTTTCTTGATACGGATTTTGGGACTGGGACGAACGGCTACCTGGCACAGGGTAGCAAATGAGAAATCATCACCGGAATCTGGTCCTTAGGGCAACCTGCCCTACATGCCGATTTGGCTAACAAGCTTCCGTGCTTCCAAACTGTGGCCTGAAGCCGGGGCATTCATGACAGTCTGGCAATATCCGGAAGTTCCATCGCCGACAATCACCAAGGCGCAGTCCTGTAATGCCAAGGCGGGAGGGAGTGTCATTTTCCTGCATGTTGGCCGGGCATTAGATGACACTGCGGTCCTTCGGCAATGCTTCCCACAGCAAATGGATTCGCTTTTCCGCGGACCATCTCCCGGCTGACCTTTACCGAGTCCAGCTTCCAAGCTTCCAGCGCAGTAGGTTTTATTTACCCCAGTTCAGTGTGCCTGCACCCCGGCTCTCTTGCCTAGTCTGCAGCTGAAGAGCAGAAGGATTGCTCGAGGTTCCTTATATAGCTTGCGAAGCCCTGCACCGACAAACTCCTAACACTGCACATAATGCAAAAAGGTGAAGACGCAAGACTTACAAGAGTCTTACAAGCCAAAAGCTTCTGCAATCGCAAAGACAAGGCTCTTGGCAGCCCTGTGCACGCAGTTTCTCCAGCCACTCAGAGCGCAAGGTCTGCGCCTGGCGAGTATCGAAAGCTCTTGAAGGCTGCGGCCCAACAAGCTGCAAATATCTCGTCTTCCTGCGTTCAATCAAACTTTTCAACAGAACCACATCTGAAACCAACACTGCCTGTGCTTCCGGAAAATCCTACCTCGAGGATCGGCATCCAAGTTTGCAAAGGTATAAATTAAGTTCATGTTGGACTGCTCCTGGTCCGCCCACTCTGCCGGTTCTGCTTTGAACTCCTGCGATAGGCGAAGACTGGCTGACTGGCAATTTTTGGTCCAAGCAGTGGGAAGTCGGGAAGCAGTGTGAGTGCGCCAAAGCCAGCTCACTACAACGCAAATGGCAGGAGCAAGCAATGCGAATCGCAACAAGCCGAGAGGCCGAAGCCCTCTGTGTCAAGGGCTCGCGCTGTGCCAGACCAAACTTTGTCCTCTGACCACAAGATCGGAGGCCAGATCGCACTGATGGGGATTCCATACCTGGAATGCCCGTACAGCCCATGCCAACCTCTGCACCGATCCCGCACATGAAGTTGAGATAAAACAAAGTCTTCCCTGCGGAACGGTGGGAAGGAAGAAAATGGAGCTATGAAGCAGAATCTTGCTGCAGTATCCTCAGACGATCTCCGCGGCCAGGCTGCGTCTTGCCCATCTGGGCCCCGAAAACCCTGGACACCGTCGCATGAACGCTTGCCAGCCTGCGCTTGACATTTTGCCGAAAGGCTAGCTTCGCAACTGGCAATGCCACAAGGGTGGTACTTTTACACGACCTTTGCTACTTGTCGCCAACATTCCAACCCCACGCCCTGCTCCAACAATATATCTTCTTGGCCCGGCCTCGTGCTCAGCATGTGAATCTTCCACACCAGTTTCACGACGCCCTTGTAGGCCTCTTCGGCTTGGCAACTGAGCTGCGAAGCCATGTGCCGAATCCCTCGAGTCGCGTGAGCCGACAATGGTCTCGAAGACACGACGCACACAAATGGCAACTCCACCCTCCCAAGGAGTGCTGTCTTCATTCGATGACTTCTTGGCTCCCGGTAGGCATCAAGGGGCCTTCATGTGAGTGATGTCCGTGTGAGATGAGACCTGGGCAGGCAGTGAGCGTGGTATGTGGTATGCATAGCATGCGTTGGCAAAGCCGTTATGTCTCATCAGCCATTAGCCGTCTCCTCTGTAGGTCTACTCAAGTCTCCACCACACTCAAAGTCCGTGGCCGACGGCGTCACAACAACTTTAGCTCGCATTTCCGATCTGCTTGCGTGCAAAGCACGACTGTTGGAATGCCCAGGGCCCGCGTGAGCAGAAGCAGCTCCAGGCGCCAAGGAACCTTGAAAGTTTCATCCGTCCCGGTTGCTTCTTCGGTGACACTCACGTTACAATATAGTCATGGTCATATGGCCACGAGCGGGCCTGATGTTGGATCCACGAACTCGGATGCAAACACGAATTCGTGTCGTGGAGACGAGCGCCACGATCCGAGATCCGATGCAACGTTTTGAGTCGAACTTGGATGTAATAGTTTTGTAGTGACGGTTGCTCACCACAAGCACTGAAGTTCGTCCTAGTAAGACTTGTCGCGCGCGTGCCTGAGCTTTCGCCACTCTTAGCACCAGTACCAGTAGCACTCCGCTTGTTACGACGACGACGACTACTCCTATTATGACGAAGACAAACGACTCTCAGCTGCACAAGCTGTGCCGGCATTCTTCGTTTCGGCTGGGGCATGGCTAGGTTTGTTGCGGCACTTAGCCGAAGGCATGAAGAGGCCAGACCATCCGGCCCTACCACCCACATGCGCAAATCTCTACCCTGGCAACGGAACAGAGTCGTTCTTGCATGATCTGGCAAGAGTCTTGTAAAGCGCTACTGTATCCTTTGCCAGTGAACTACACAAAGTGGCCGAGACAAACCGGCCTTTGGAGCCCTTGTGCAGGAAGGGAGGCCGTGCTCACTCTGAGGTCTCGTCTGCGGTGTCTGCCATGAAGTCAGCGGCCCGGCTTACGCCTAAGTTCTCTTCTGGCAAAGCTTCGATCAATCCATCCTTGTTTCGTACCAGTAAAGGTGACTTCTCGTCCTGCACCATCCCCGGCAGGTCTTCTACCTGCAAATCTGCACCGACCTGCTGGTACCCGTCGGTTGTCAAGCGAGTTACGTTCTCGCCTTGCTGCGCGAGCTGCTCCACGTCCCAAATCCCAACATCCAGCAGTCCGGTCTTGTCCGCCAGCAAGTGCCGGCTTCCACATCCAGGGCACGTCGCAATCACGATGCCTTGCTGATATGCGAGCCTGGAGATCATATGCGAATTTCGGGTTTCGCAGATCTTGCAAGTGAAAAGGATCTGGAACTTGCGCGGGGCCACTCTGGCAAAGGGTATTGAGCCGCTAGCTGCAGGCTGTTCATCGCTATTGCCGGCCTTGTCCGATGGCTGAGCTGCTCCTAAGAGTTTGGGCGGCTCATCCTCCCCTGGTGTCTGCGGCACAACGGCGAAAGTTGGCAGCCAAGCTCGGCTCACCACAAGTGCCGCAATAAGCGTGGCAAAAGCTGCCCGACTGCAGAAAGAGATTCGAAGGCGGGCACGGCCATGGATATTTCTGCGCGCAGTGCTCCGCCACATGGCTGACTGCACTGAATCTTGCCGCTTCAATTCTGCAACAGCCATCCCTGCACTTACGAAGTTGCTACCTCTGTCTGCCCGAGGAATCTTACATTCGGTGGAAAGAATCTCTGCTAGTGACTCCTCAAAACCTGTTGCGGCAACCACATGCACATGCGTGAACCCTAGAGGTTTTTGAAGTGTAACTTGTCCATCTGCCCCCACCACCCACTCTACTCTTTACAACCATCTGCAATTTGATTCGCACAGGATGCCTCTCATGTCCATGCAAATTGGGAATGGGATGTATGCCTCCAACCTCAGACTCACTTAATGCAGTTTCGTCCTCAGGGCAGCACATCATCCAGAAACAAACAGTCGTAGCCTCCACGAACCATAGTTTCCCTGCCATCGAACACGTCAGTTCTCGAAGAGTGGAGCATATGTGATTAGCAGGGCAACTTAAACAGACATCGCCTCAGCAGCGCTGCAGCATTGGCATAGGAGAAGAGATCCTGGGAAGTGACGACGTACCGTTTTACGCGAACCGTTCCACCAAACGGCCATGTAATGTGGCGGCGTTGTTTGTGCAGTATACCTCGTGTTGCTCTGCAGCATGAGGCATGGCTTCGTGCGGCAAGCCACGAGGAAGACCGCGACACCGTCGGTGGAGGAGCGAACACGGACCTGCAGCTTCAGTAGGTTTGGGCAAGGCATGAAATGAGCTCGGAGCAACATGAGCCAGCGTTCTTCGAACGCTCTCTGCAAAGTGCCGCAGGCCATGCCAAGTACAAGTACCTACAAGTACCTAGAAATAGAGGCGAGAAGGCGCTCCGAGGCGCCAGCCCCACGAGCTGGCAGATGGACCAGCTTGCCTTCCGAAGTACACCAAAGCGAAGCCAGACAGCAACAATGCTTTCCTCCGCCCGTCAGAGTCTTGGCACCTTCTGCAATCCATCTTTTGATGTCTTTCTCGCTACTCCTGGTGCAGTCCACAGGCGTCATGAGGGTCACCTGCCAGCCTTGGCTGCAATTCGAAACCACGAGCGGCACTTGCAGCATGTAAGGTCTCCCGCACAGACCCTTGAGGCTCTGACCCAAGCCATCGATCAATGCTCGACACAATGTAAAGTAGCGCTTGGAGACCCCGCCTCGACATCTCAACAAACAGCAAGTAGCATCAGCACTACTACTGGAGCACACGGGAGGCAAGGAGTGTCCGCATAACGCTAAAGAGTTGAAGCTATCGCTCAAACTGCCTTGCCTGCATTCTTCAGCAGCGGTGGGAAGCACTGCACAACCACGAGGGCTTTCATCGCCCTGCCGAGCTAGCAAGAGCCAAGCTGACCACTCGCATGAAACCGCGGCCCGACGACTACAGTGCATATCTACGCATGCCGACACGCAACTACAACAGAATGACCGCTACCCGTGCTCTTTGGATAGGAAGTGGGTCAATGCTCGAGACCCCTGCCTGCCCGAATGCCGCGGCTCTGGCCCGGCAAGCTAAGCACTTGATCACAGCAAAACGGACGATCGCAGCTTCGCGCAGCTTTGGATCGACAGCACTTCGTCTCTCGTCTCCTTTCGTCTCCGTCGAAGGGCAGGTGGACACGTGCTGCAGCTGACTCGGCGTTGTAGACACTCGGCTTCGCATCCCAGTGATGGAAACCTTTCAACAAGATCCTTTGACCTTGCGAAGATTCCGACATGCTCGATTCGACTTAACAGCATTTCGACATGGTTCCGTGAAGTTGCGATCAAGCCCGCAATAGCCGGGAAGGTTGCTCCATGTTTCGGAAAAAACTCTGACAATTCACACAGGCTCATCAAATCAATTTCACCGTTTCGTTTCACCTGTAGCATGATTGCTTCATCATGTCACAACTGCGACTTCGAAGCCCCGACCAATTGAAATAGCAGTTCGACGAATTCAAGCGGACCCAGCGTAGAGAAGGAACACTGTTCGTTCGGCTAGGGTCTGGCACTTTACTGTCAAGCCACGGGAGGCCATGACGATTCTCATGCAATTCTGGCAGCGACAAGCTCACGCTTTTGCACACGCGTCATAGTCAGATAAGTTAACACAGCTGCTTCGACAGCTCAAGATGGTAGTGGTCGGCAGTTGATCCTCATATCCTAGTCCTAGCACCCGAGGAACATGGGTCCCACTATCTTGGGCAAATGCTGGCATGACTCAGGAAACACTTCCCGTACAGCTGGGAAAAGATCAGCTGCACACCGACGTTGTGGCGTCTTGAGCTTGCAAGAACATTCTGTGTACAGTTGGCCCAGCTTTGGAGAAGCAACGTTCGAGGAGGCTACGCCCAGAAGTATGATGACATACTGGGCCACTATACAAGCTGGGCTAGCAGTTTCGGGGACTGGGCGTTGCCTCTGATCCATCCATTTGGCTGCGAGGTGACCACGGGTTGATATTGCAATCGAATGTATTGACAAGAATTGCACGGGTCTCTGATTTCAGGTTGACATCAGGATCTCCTCATATCTGCACTCACGCCCTTCTGATGCCACCTCGATACTCTAGACGGTCAGAGCCGTTAACGCAAACCTCGCAGTGCCCAGCAATAAAGGCACAGAGATCCAGATATGATGATTTGCCTTCTGCAAACAACTCATGGTAAGACTGTCTGCTGCAATTGATACTGCCAGGCAGCATGCAGTGCATGCAATCAACCCACTCGCAGGAAGGAGTGCTCCGGCACCCTGTCGACCGCACTAGCACGTGAGGCTTGGCCCTGCTAGAATACTGGAGTGCCAACGTGCGAAGATGACACACATAGTTTGCGATTGGATGAAACCGACTCAGGCTTGGAATTGCTGGGAGGAACAGAGATCCAGGAAGTTCGGCGAGAGATGCCCTGGGCCATAACGTTGAAGCCTCTTCGTTGGCTCCTGCATCGGAAGCCGTCTGTTTCGCACGCTTGGTTTGAGAGTTTGGGAACATGGACATTGGAGGTTGGTTTGACTCTTTACGCCTCCTGACATCTCGCTGGATGTGCTGCTGTGTCTGTTTTTGTGCTTGCTTCTATTCCGTCGATCTTCTGTCGCGGAGGGTAGCTTGTTTCTGTGCTATGGCTGGTTTGCCCTCGCAGTTGCTCTTCCTCCTTTACGCCGCGCGGCCCGCGCACACATAGCGTTTCTCGCATCCTTTGCAGCTTCTGTTCGTCTATGCTTGCATGTCACATCTTTTTCGGCCCTTCAGGTCTCCTCCCCTGCGACCGGAATACCAAGCCTCTAAGCCCCCGACAACCTCGCAGTGTACCAATATACTGTACACTGTATACCAGCGAACTGCTGGCGTGCGGCGTGCGGCAGCATGGTATTTAGTGCGGCTTCCGAAGATTCATTTGTCGGACATCCTTCCTGAAAATGTTGAAAATCTACCGACCACGGCTTCCAGGCGGATATCTTCCCAGAGCAGGTTGCTCTGGTCGCCTGAGCAACCCTTTTTGTGCTCATCTTACCCGTGTCGGAAGTGCATGTGAAACGCAACTGTAGCTGGTTCTTCCTGAACTCAAGAAAGACAGAGATGTATAGGGAATGATACTGAAGGGTTTTACATCATACACATTGTGGCCAAGCTGTTGCCAAGCATCTGGCAGAAGAGTAGGCGCTGGGTTTCCCATTTCTGCCGGGACTTTATAACAAACAAGCCTCCTCCGCAGCAGAAAGCAGCCGGCCCCCTCATCTTTCGGATTCTGCAGGCTGGGGAGAGTGTAAAGGGTTAAAGTCTTGAAGCAGAATGGAAAAAGGCGCTGGCGCCTGGGGCAAACAATTGCATCAGGAGTAGTGGCCCGTATGCAGCTTAAGCTTCTGCTGCCCTGCTCGTCTGGACCCCGTGTTGAAATCACATGGACGAGCGGAGATGGAGGGAATCAACACGTGAGGCATAGGGTGAAACCTTCGCAGCATCTTGTCTCGCACGAGGGCATCAGTTTGGACTGGACATGCCCCGACTGCTAACGTTTGGTCCGCACACCACCAGCACTTCGCACGTGACAGGTCTATGACCTGACTGGAACCAGTCACGGCCACGCAGTTGCGCTTGCCATGCAGTTGCCAGCCCTGGCTCTGGCTGCAACCAGCACTGCTTTCTTCCTTCTTTTTCTTTACACTGAGCGCAGCACAGAAACTCTGGAGAACATCTCGCATCACATGAAGCAGTGCTGTGAGCAGATGGCGATCTTCGCCCACAGCAATCCCTATTAACAAGTGAAACTTCTCATCATGGGTATATTGGGTCTGATTCCCGGCTGGCTCCACAATGAAGCCCGTGGGAAGATCCCCAATCGGAAGAAATTACTCGGTCTCTAGGACGACCCAAGCCGAGGAGGCTCCAATGTAGACACACCACTGGAAGACCAGGAACGCAGCGCTCGCCAGCTGCCAGCGGCCTTTCAAGTCGACAGAGGCGAAGATAATTTAACGAGAGTATGTGTTCTTCCCTCAGCCGCGCACGTGGCCCTCCTAGCTCTCCGCCGAAGGTTCGACGCCGGAGGTAAAGTAGCATAATAGCGCCTGGGCCAAGCAGCGCAGGAACCCGGAGCAAGATGGGAGCCATCTGAAAGAATTGCTCCGAACGACCTGCCCTGTCTTAGGCGAGCACAAATCGCGTTGCAGGAGAACACTAAGAGGTTGAACCACAGAGAGCCTCCAGAAAGACAGGAGTGTCAAGCACCGTCCTTCGTGGCTTTGCCCTCTGGCCTGCAGGGGTTACAAAGACTGCAGATTCTAGATTGTTGTAGTTCACGATCGACGACCTGGCAGGGGCGCGAAGCATGGGCCACCAGCTTTCAGGCGACTGGCGTCACAACAATAGAGGGATTCTGTGGCCCGTCCAACAAACAGCGCTACAGTGGGCCTGATTTCGAAGTACTTGCCGGTTTCCTGGCAAGCATGCGAGAGCTGAGCAATCTCTGCACAACCAACCCTGGCAACCCTAAACCAAGCAACCAAGACATTGAAACCTTTCCTGCTCGTAATGTTGGAATTAGCGCTGTCCCTGAGCACGCAGACTCATCCCTCTCCTGCAGGTTCGAAAGCCACGTTGCAAAGGTGGCTCCGCTCGTACTCTGAGTCTGCCAGTAAATCGCTCCAATGGTCCAGGGCCTCGATCCGATCTTTCTCCGCTCTGCCGTGCAGTCTTTCGCTGGGGAGATGGCATGCCCAGACCAAGGAACACGTTGACGGAGTTGCTGCCTGTGACCTTCGGCGAACTGGCGTGATTTTCAGACTACCGAGCCTCAAGACATCCCGCTGCTTCAAAGGCCCAGGTCTACTTACGCCTACGATTGGCTACAAAAGCAAAGCGATGATAATCGGGCGGGCGATGACTTCCACCGTCAAAAGCAGGTCCTGCTTTCTCCTTGCCTCACCCGACCCCCGAGAGTCTCGTGAGGAGACTTGGCAAGTGCACCAAGAGAAACATGTCCCTTTCAACTGGTCAAGCAGCTGCTCTCGTGAACTTGCACATGCTGTCGCCATTCACTCTGGGAAGCTTGCATTCCCAATGGAGGCATCCGCATACGGATCCATGATGGCAGCCGTCTTGGATGCAAAGGTGTCCTTGTCTGCTTCGGGTTAGACCAGAGCATGCACACAGCGCTGGGGGGGGGGGGGGCCCGGCTGTACAG